GTCGTTTGATGGGGGAGATGCGAGGAGCGATCGGAATTTGATCACGCGGAGGGCTTCTGTGAAGACGTGGAGGGCGCGCTGGCGGAGCATGAATTTCTCGGCGCGCACGGGGAACTTGGACATGTAGCGTTCGTTCAATTCGTCTTCTGAGATACCCAGCAGCCCGCTGATTTGCGCGCGTGTGTAGCCGTCTTCCTGTGGGAGGTAGTCTTCGGTGTGTTGGATTAGCTTTGTGAGTTGCGTTTCGAAGTCTGACACGGAGATCTTGGTGTTGTCGGAGACACTCTCTTTGTCTTCAAAGTAGGTGTCGTGGAAGCCGCGGAGGCTGACGCCGAGGGGGGAGGAGTCTGTTGGGAGCTCTTTCTTTAGGCCGAAGGCTTTGGCTAGGAAGACGGCTGCTAGTGTGCATTCGACGACGCGCAGGTTGTAGCATACTGGCGCTGTGACGTGCTTGTCGGCGGCGACGAAACTCTGAGCGGTAACGAAGACGAGTTCGGGGTCGGTTTTGGGGAACTCAATGTTTGTGTAGTTTAGGCTAGGCTTGAACGATACGTATAGTGCCGAGCCGCGGAGGGAGAAGACGGAAGCTGCTTGGTCCATACTACGACTTGTTAGCTGTGGGAATGCAAAAGGTAGGCAAGACTGACCCTCCAGAGTTAACACCGACTGCGCGCTCAGATACAATCGCAAGCTCGCATAGTTCGGTCTTGTCAATCTTCTCCTCGCCATTCGCGGCCAGCACAGCCAGAGAGCTTGTGCAGACAACGGATGCTGAACTCGAGAGACCACCACCGCTCGGTACTGTGCCATCGCAGACAATGTCCATGCCGACGGATGTGAACTTTCCTCGCTTCTTTTGCAGTAGTTGTGATACACCCTTCAGTCCAGACTTGAAGTAGTTGGTCCACTCATGCTCGGTAGCGTCGATTGGAATCTCTCCCTCAGGAATGTCGAACTCGCGAGTGGGGAATTTCTCTGAATTGAGGTTCGCTATCCGTACACGCGGCTTCTCCTCAGTCGGTCGCACAGCTACGGCCATGATGAAGTCGGCGGTAATGGCCATGGGCAGAACCTCGTACAGGGAGTAGTCAATGTGCTACAATCATTAGTGACAGGTAATAGACTTCTTGCAGGTAATTTACCTCGCCAATGATGTTGACGCGTCCAGGACTCCTAGCGACAAAGTCGGCTTGCTTGCCATAGAGCTCCTTGAACTTGGCGAGTAGGCTCTCCCATCGCTTTGTCTCGGCTGGGAGCGCGTCTTCGGGGTAGATGTCGCGTAGCGATGTCGCTGTCGGGACCTCCATTGCGCGATCTAGAAGTTCAGAATCGCAAAAAGCAAGAGAAGGAGAAATAGAAAGCAGGTCGAAGAGTAGGAAAAGCAGAGTCTATTAAATCCCCGGATCGTCGCAAGATCTCAAGTAAATGTACGGCGGGGTCCAACTGACGACAAGTGGGGTTCTCAGACCTTCCCGTTTTGAGAAGCGCATCCGCATCACCAACGGCCCGTGAGCTGCATCGAGCTGCAGGTACGGATTTCAGGTCTCGTCGCGGTTGCTCGGGGGAAACACGCCGTGGTAAGATAAGCTATGGATGCCCGGGATGGTAAGATGAGAGAAACTGAGTGAGGCGTTCCGAAATTGCGCGATAAATTATGCTGACCTCAGCACTCGACACCACCAGACTGCAAACATACGACCCAGGTTTAAATGTCGATTGCGTATTCCATGTATGCGTTCGATGTGAGGCGAAGGCGTATGTGCAATCCCATCAACCCAAGCCTCTACCTCGTCCCCGCGGGAGCCCTCGTCCAATGCCGCTGCCTGCTCGACCTCGTGAGTCGCTGCGACTGATACCACGTCCGGTCTGTCCGCCTACGCCGGTATAGTTCCCTGTGGACGATGTCGAAGCACCGCGTGGCCGGACGCCCCTGCCTCTGCCTTGAGTACCTGCCCTGGGAGCCGCCTCAGCCTTTCTGCGATCCTCTTCTATCTTCCTAGCCGCAGCTTCTCTCCGCGCCTGCTCATCTGCCGCCCGACGTTGTGCAGCCTGCTGGCGGTGTACCTCTTCCTCCTCGATATCGATCAAATCTTGCGACGCACCCTGCCATTGCGGATTCAAGATTAGACGCTGATTATGTTCTGTTTGCGAAAGTATGCGCGTCCATGTTTGGAGCAAGGTAGACGCGTTTTGGACGGTGCGTGATACAGTCTATTCATCGTCAGTCTAGAGACTGCGGCAGTTCTACTATTGTCCCTTACAGCCATGTTGTCCTTGGCCTTTTGCAGGCTTTCTACCACGCCTTCGATGACCTTGTTGACGTTTCGTATGCTCTCCAACTCCCTGCGCAATGCTGCCTCGCGCGCCTCTTCTGTCGTGTAATGCGACTCCTTTGACCGTGTCTTTGCTGCATCATTGTCCGCATCTTTTGTCTGCTTCTTGGTCTTGCGTGCCGCGGGCGTGTCAAACAACGCGTCCGTGTCCGAGTCGGAGAGGTCAAGCGCGCCCAGGTTCGGCGGGTCCATGCTGTGTTGACGTGCTGTGTATTGTGTCGGACTCTTCTAGACGAATTGATTTGGTGAGTTTCAACGACTGACAGCGTTGGCGTATTTGGTTTGGCGGGGCCAGCGGTTAGCAGGGGTTTGTTGATGTTCCGCGTTGCGCCAAGGAAGGAGCACCAGCCATCTGCACCTGCCGTCCCAACCTCGCGACTTCCTTCATTCCCCGTCGTGACATAGCCCATTGTCTCCACCCGGCTTTGTCCTTCACCTTCACCATCACCAGCCCTACCGCCATCTCCACTTGCGCGCATATCGATACTGCATCCATTGTCATCCCAACGTCGAGACGCTGCGACATCGAGCTTGCTGTGGCATTGTTTTGATTTTGGATACCCACAATTCGCCCTGTATTGCTACAACAACACCACAACTGCCCTATCCCAAACAAACACCCGCATCATCCCACCCAACATGGAGCGCACGCCGTCCCCGCCCCGCCGCGTCCACACGCCGCCCGCGCCGCTGTATGGAGACAACTACGAGCCGTTTTCACCGCGCCGATCGCGCAGAGTGGCCGCCCAGCACGACGCTCACACTCACCAACAGGAGCGGTCAAGCCCACGGACCAGGCGCGACATCACGCCAACGGCCTCTTCTCACGCCAAGCGTTCTGCAACCCGCGCAAACGCTTCCTTTGCACTCTCACCACCGTCGTCGCCTGCATCCCCACAACACCAACACCTCCGCTCCCCACGCTCGACCCGTCGTGCGCCCTTGGACCTCAACCCGCTCGACTCTGACTCCGACACGGCTGCACCAAGCTCGTCCCGGCGCACCTTGTTTGCGAACATGGCTCCTGTATGTTACCTGAGGTGACCGCCTGGGCCCGATGCGGCTGACAAACAACCGCGTCGTGTCGAAGCGTCTGCACCATAACGTTAATTCAACATGCTAACTTCTCCACAGGGCATGCTCCCCACTCCCGCAAAGACGCCGCGCAAGCGTCGCATCGAAGACGTCAGCTCGACCGCGCGCATATTGTTCCCCGCCAACCGACCTTCAACCATCGACGAAGCCATGCCGACCCCGCGCAAGGGCCGCAAGACCAAGAACCTCTACACTCTAGAGAGCTTCGCCCAGCAGGTGGACGAGAACACCGACAAGATCCCCATCTACACAGACTCCAAGGAGCGCGTACCCACTCCTGGTGCTCAGACTGAAGATAACCCATTCATCACCGTCAAGGGTAAGGGCAAGGCAAAGGCTGCTCCTCAAAAGTCAAGGAAAGCCGTCGACCGAAAGACTGCCAAGATGGAGGCGGCCGTCGATCGTGACGAAGGCATGGTGTACATCTTCCGTGGCCGCAAGGTCTTCCGCAAGTTCCACGACGACGCACCCTCCGGCGCCTCAGCGGCAGAGGAAGACGACGACCTCTCCGCCGATGACAAGCAAGTCCGTCGCCAGATTGGTTATGAGGCCCGTCGTCCGCTCACTCGTTCGTCTATCAAACCCCGTCTTCTGTTCCAAGCAGAGATCAAAGAGCGCAACCGCGCAAACGGTGTTGAGACCGACGACGAGGAGGCGACCACCGACATCGATGCGTCCGTCGCGACTCCGAGCCGCAAGAAGGGCAAGAACGCCGTCCCAACACCCTCGCTGCTCACATCGCCGCCGCCTACGACCCGCAAGCTCAAGAAGGGTAAGTCTCTTCAATTCTCGCCAGTGAAACCCCCGCTTATACAGTAGCAGAGATCTCGTTTGATTCATGGTCGCGTGTCAAGTCAGCGCACAGCTCCAGCAGCTCAACCAAGACATCCAAGAAGCGCAGCGGTGAGCCGCTCGAGCGCGAGGCAGCAGACAAGCGGGCTCGCAGTGAGCACTCCACCTCATCCATGTCAATTGACAACATCTAACGGCCTTCAGCCCGTTCGTCTTGAACAAGTCTTCATCGTAGCTTGTGTTGAGATGCTACCACAAAGCGTTCCCAAATCCTCTTTTGCATCAGGTCCTTTGTGACTGATTGTTTGCATAGCGAGCGTTTGCTTTTTGTGTTCTTCGACCTATTCAAGTCGAGGTTCAGGATCAGGATACCCACGATTACATTACGAAAAGGTTCGCATTACTGACGGCCTTTAATGTTTGTTTGGTAGTGAAGGGTAGTGGACACCTTTCTTTGCCGAGAAGGCATTGTATTCGGTGTTTTCTCTGGGACATTTACTGGACAGCACGCATATGTGCGTTGCCCAGAGTAACTTAGTTAGTAAGTAGGGAATACGGATTCGACTGCGGGATCACGGTATGCGGTTGCTTGGTATCTGGGCGTCTCGATGAACAGACACCGAGCTGGTGTACGGCGATTTGCGGTTGAATCGATGGTAATGGGAGGACATGGAAGGGAACGTAGTATAGATCAAGGAAAATACGAGTGATAACTCTGACCAAACTTATTCGTCGTGACTATGCTATGCTGTCCCATTCCCTCTGCACAAGTCACCCTTCTCACCGCCGTCCCAGATCAATATCCAACACCTTGACCATCCCATCGTCCCGCTCTCCTCCTTCTGCCTTAACCCCAAAGAAAGGCACAACCCCCCTATTCACCACCCCCTCAAAAAGCCCCTCAATCACCCCACTCAACTCGCTCCCCGTCTGCCTGAAATCCGGAAACGCATTCACCTCCAGCAGATACGTATTCAGTCCCCCATCCTCTTCATGGCCTACCATGAAATCCAAGCCAAAGATTTCGAAACTGTTAGGCAGCGGCTGGAAATGGATCGACATGCCCCTCGCCGCAGCTTCGAACGTCGCACCTGTTGCTTCCTTGATCTGCTCGAACACTTTATCCTTCCAGTCCGGTTCACTCTCTAGTTTGACAGACCCGAGATCTGGTTGAGAAGGTATGTCGTCTGGGAGAGACCAGAATAACCCCACACTCCCCTCCCTATCCCCACTCTCTTGCAAACACGTATTCGTCAGATGCGCCTTCATAGCCTCATCGCGATCTTCCTGTAACACGTCGTCCCAAGGAGGGACGTAGGGCCGTGCAGCGAAGAGGGCGAGCATGGGTCGGTAGACGTAGACTTGGAGAGCGCAGGTGGCGAGAACGTAAGTCCGGATGTGGAATTTGCGCAGTTCTGAAGAGGGGACGTTGGGAGGAGAGAGGAGTAACGGAGGGTGGATGTAAGGTTGTGCGATGAAGTGGCGGAGTTGGGATGTTATGATGCCGTTTCCCTCCTCTTTCTCCCCCTTTCCCTCACCCTTACTGCCAATAATGTTGCTGCCAGCGTCACTTCTCGCATCCTCCTCCTCTTCTCCATCCTCATCATCACTCTCAGGATCCCACTCCTCAAAAATCTTAGTCAACTCCTCCTCACTGCTAAACAGCCTAATCCCTTGCCCCCTCTCACTCATCCCCGGTTTAAGAATCCACCATTCCTTCTTCTGCACATCTTCTTGATCTTCGTTCCGCGCCCAACTCTCCTTCAACTCCCACGCTTCGACCAGCGCATCATCCAGAAACTCGGCGTAGTCGATTTCGAATTCCACGCTTGGTTTTACATGTTTCTTGAGTACGCTATCTAGATACTTGGTAATCCAATTCGCGATGGTGGTGCTGAGGTAGTGTTTCCGGATTAGAGCTTTGCGGATTATGTAGGCGTTTGAGAGGCTGGTGGAGGAGTTTTCCATGAGGTGGTCGAAGTCGATGGATTCGTATTGGACCCATTGGAGGAGGCGGAAGGAGGGACTGGGAAGCTGTGAAATGGAGGATATCAACTCATAAGATGGTTTCGGCAGGCGCTTTTCGAGAGCGGCTAGAATGAGGGGTTGGACGTAGGGATCTTCGTAGTTGATCAGGGCGTAGATTTTGTTGTCTGTGGTATCAGAGTCTGGGGCCGCCATTTTGGTGTGATTCGAGTTTGGAAGTTGGTGGTCCTGCTCTTTCCTTCAATGGTGTGGTCGCACGTGCGTCGCTGGTATAATTGGGAAATCCTCACGCTCCTCTCAAGATGACCAGTCTCAGAAAATTGGTAAAGTGAACGCAGTATACAATTCAGCGTAACAAAGCGGGTATAATATTGTACAAGTAAAAACAAAAGGAAAGTCGTTAATGCGGCTTCGCTCCACGCTAAAGCCTTCGGTATCCATCAGCCCAGAAAAGTCGAAATACACCCCGTTGCTCGCTTAGCTCTAGCCAATCAGCGAGCTGTTGTTACCCAGACCAAACGCCCTGCCCTTCATGTTTTTTTGTGTATACCTCCCCTAGTGTTTTCCAAATAAGAATTAAACAACTTCCAAATCATCATCGTCGTCGTCGTCCATGGCAGCAATAAGACCGGCGTCAAGACCGCCCAGACTCTCGCGTCCGGGCTCGCGGATGCCTTTTCCGGCTAGCAAGAGACGCGCCTTCTTCTTCGCTGGACTGGCTTCGCGTGTACCGCGGAATGCAGAAGGGAAAGAAGTGTCCTTCTTCGGTGATGGGATGCGGCCGTACTTGAATCCCCAGCCGACGGGGTCGCTCGAATTGGATGATTTCGCCGATGCTGTGCGTTTACGTTTAACAGGCGCCAAAGAAACATCGGCTGACGTACGGTTGAGTAGACTGGTAAAGTCCACGTCGGCGGGCTTGTCGGGCTTTGCGCCTGAGGACCCTTGCGACGATGTGTAGCCTCTTGCGGGGAGGTTCTGGGTACCAGCGCCCTTGAGCTTCATGTAGTCGCCTCCGGTACTGCCGTCTCCCATCGTGCCGAGCTTCTTTGCAAGCTCTCTTTCCTTCTCTTTTTCGGCGAGTTGCTTGCGGAAGCGGTCTTCTCGACCTGCTCCGCCTTCCCAGTTTTGGTGGTCGCGGTCGATGAGCTTGGCTGCGCCGCCGGGTCGTGGTGCTATGTAGACGGTCTCGTGGAGTTCTCGGTCGTGATACTTGCCTTCCCTCTTGAGTTCATCACCTTTCGGGCCACCGCGTCGGCCAAACATGCCGCCGCCTGGACCTCCGCCAAACCCGGTCATGGTGTTGACTTGCATGCGGCCTTTCTTGGCCTTTTCCACCTGAAGTTGGATGTGGAACTCGCAGAATTCGGTCTTGCGACCGTCGATCCACTGACCACACTCCTTGCCGTCTTTCCGTTGTGCATGGCAGAAGTCTAGATCTCGCGCTGTGCCAAGTTCAAGGATGGTGTCGTCAGAACTTGACAACTTCAGCGAGAATTTGCCGGTATCGCGGTTCCGTGGTGGCATGATATCGGGGTTGAGTATGGCGACTAGTGTACCAAGAGGGAGTTTCCAGAATTGCGAAAAGCCAGTGTCGAACAGGAAGAGATCGAGCTCCCATTTGAGATCCGTGAGACGAATAACCATAAACTTGCCGTTCTGGTCCAAGTTCTTGTCCTGGTTGCCCTTGGTCTGGTCCTTGGCTGCGTTCTTGGAGTTTTGAGGTGTCGACTTGGAGCAGATAACCCCAAGAACAACATAGTCGTTCTCCCAATCTGGCGGATCGTATTCTGGCGCCTTGACGGTTTTCAGCAGTTGAGGTATTGTCAAGACCGTCTTGCCTTCCAGCGTGCGCGTGACTACATTGTGTTGCATTTCCCTCGACTTGAGGTGGAGACCAGAGAACGATTCGAAACTAGGAGCATCGGCGCTTTCGTCGCGCGACGAGATCTCGGCGTATTTTGTGGCTGTCGGAGTTGAGCCAAAGCTGCTAGACGTGGCCTTGGAAGAGGACGAGGTCGGGCGTGAGCTTTCGGGCCTGAAGGACAATGTGGAGCCTGGTCTTGGAGTGGGCGGACCCCCAAATGTACGGTTCTGTAGACTTTGCGTTCGGCTGTGATTCCTCAGGGCCGGCGGAGGCATGTCGCGTGAAGTCTTGGTATCGGTACTCTGAGATGAGCTGGTTCGTGATAGCGACGGCCGGTCTTTCAGCGCTTCGATGTTCTGCAGCCCAAACCCCCTACTCCGTCTCTGTTCAGCCTTGTCCTCCTTCTCTTCACGCTCCTTCTCCTTGTTCCTGCTCTCTGCGATGCGCTCACTGAAGGACTTGATCTTGGGCGGCTCGACCTCTTTCGACGAGCCCAGCCGCGACATGCGCCCACTAACAGCACTTCCCGGCCGCTTGAGACTAACATCGCGGGCTGTGAGTCCCTTGTCTATGCCCAGCATGACGCGCGCAGGACTCTTCGGCTCGGTTGGCGCCTGTCGCATCCGAACTGGTGATCGGGGTACCTCGACGTCGGTCTCTTGCCTGGTCTCGGGCCGCGGCAGGTCGATTCTGCGCATGCTGGTGGCCATGCTCGCTCGTGATGACGCTCCATTGCGATCCAGATCCTGAGACTCGTTCTTCTTCTTCTGCAGCGCCTTCAGCTTCAGCTTGGCCTCGATGGCCTGGAGTTGCAGCTGGAGTGTCTCCTCATCCTCTTCTCCGTCGCTGCCGGCTGGCACACCTCCGCGCGACATTGGGCGGCGTTTCGAGGGGGATGGCGATGCTGAGTCGCGCTGGCGGCGGCTCTCGTACCTCTTACGGCCGGATGGCGAGCTGAGAAGGGCTTCGACGGGCGACTGCGGGGGCCAGTTGGGCTGATTGTTCTTGACTGTCACAGAGTCAGCGCATGCTGGCACACTCACATGGGCGACTTACCTTTTGACTTGGGGCTCTCCCGCACGATCATTGTTGTGATGGTGCAATATCGGATGCGCTATCTCGCAGTGGCCCATAGCAACGCCAATACTGGAAAGCGGGAAAAGCAAGATGGGAAACAGTCGATCGTCAGGCAGGACTCACAAGCGCATAGCCCGGCCCCGTAGCGTTTGTTGACACCGGACTGTGGTTCACCCCAGACTAATCTAATCCGAAACCGTGACGTGACAGGGATTGCGCGTGTAAGGTTGCGCCCACGCGACGCGCCTGAACCCCGATTCCACCACGAATTCGATACACCACGTACAAGACTGTATATGCCCAATTGGACCAGCAGACATCTCGCAATGGCGCGCACACGTTCGAAACCCGCAAAGGCCGCACCCAAAGAATCCACCCCCGAACCTACCACCACGGCAAAACCGCTGCCCGCAAGCACATCGAACCCCCCGAAACTGTTTGTTCTACCAAAAGACACATCCAAAGACGCGCGCATAGTCAGCCTCGACAACCCCGCAAATGATACACCATCAAGATATTTCTTCTGCCCTGAGAAAGGCTTCTACGAGTTCACGCGCATCGCTGCGCCGAAGAAAGACTTCAAGAGTTGGTTGATAACAGGGGAGAAGAGCGAGGATGACACCATAGAGGAAGGAGATGCCTCACGGATAGGCAGCGGCTACATCACCAAATCCGCCGACCTCTTCATCGCAACACCAATCGACATCCTCTTCCTCATCCTCCCTGCCCTCACACCAAAGTCAGCAAAAGACACGAAACAGCACTTCCTCGCCTTCGATGACTACCTCGACACGCTCTCATCCGCTTCACCGCATTGGAAAGCGCTGTTATCACAATATCCTACCCTGAAGACTATGATAGAAACCAAGATGCGAAGGATGTGCGACACAGTCGACGCAGGCGAAGAGTCCATGTACCGGCTCTCGCACCCCAAACTTCTCGAAATCCTCGTCTCAAAAGCCGAACGCATGGTCAAGAAAGGACTGCCACCGTCGATGGAGGAGAGATTTATCAAGACAGCTCTGGAAATACCCATCATGAGCATAAAGCGCGAGGAAAGCACACCAAGCACCGTTTCAGCAACAGATGCAGCGTCAGAGAAGGAGAACGACACAACGACGACCTCACAAACGAGCGTCACAACAACAACAACACCCCCCTCCGACGCCCCCACAAAACCCACCCTCACAACCCCCACCGAAATCCCCCACCTCCTCCGCCTCCGCACATCCCTAACCTACCTCCTCTCCTCCTACACCCCACCATCTCTCCGCACCCCCTTACTCGCTCTCCTATCCGCGCGCTTCGCACCCCTCGACACCCATCTCTCCGCCATCGCGACCCTCAAATCCGAAGCGCTGTCCCTACGCTCCATCTCAGACAACATCTCGCGGAAGAGAGCGATTGAAGAAGACGAAGAGAAGATTGCCGAAAGGGAAGAAAAGAAGCGGAAGAAGGAGGATGAGGAGAGGAAGAAGAAGAGTGAGGGGAGGGGCGTTAAGGCGCTTAAGAAGGTCGATACGAGTGGGATGAAGAAGATGAGTAGTTTTTTTAGTGTTAAGCCGAAGGCGAAGTAGGAGGTTGAGATGGGTGGAATGGGGGAGGCTCGGGTATGGATGGGAGGTTGGATTGTGTGTGTACGATAGTAGGGATGTTCTAAAGTCCTCCGGTCTGGTTGCTGGCGATGTGATAGTGATGATGATGATGATCATCATCATCACTATAGGCAATCGCAGTCAGTATCTCTGCGAACGAACTGCGCACTCCATATCGTCGGCGACGTGTACTTTTGGACAATAACCAGGAAGGAAGAGCAAGCCAAGGCCATGGTTTTGCCGATACCGATTTTTAGACTCCAAGACTGGAGTTGCTGTAAAGAAGAGTAGAACAAGAATCCGCGGGGTATTTATACACGTCCCAGTCCAGTGCCAAGAACATACGTTTCTTCTTGCATTGTTTCGAGAACAAGACCGGCGCACTCCATGAAGTTGTTGGCCCATAGTTTTAGATAATAGACAGGGAAGGAAGAGCGGAGCCGAAGTCATTGAACTCAGGCTTCTTTTTTTGGACTCCAGAATGGGAAGTGTTGTAGAGACGAGAAAGACAGAAGCTGGAGAAGTATTTATACACGTCCGCAGCCCTGTGTCGGGAGCATGGGTGACTTGTTGGAGTGTTTGAGCAGCGCGAGCAGCGCACTCCATTTCGAAGTTGACGATGTGTTTTGGAAAATAGCTCAGGGAAGGAAGAGCAGACCCGAAGCCATCCTATAGACCACCTCCAGTTTTGGAAGCGGGAAATAGAGGAGTTGTGTTGAAGAGAAATGCAGACCCAAGAGTGGTATTTATATACGTCCTTGCTCTGCGCCGAGAACATTTGTTTTGTTCGCCGTATTTATGCAGCGGGAGCACTGCTCTCTCATGTGATGTTGCGGGAACGCTTTTGATGCTTTCGGTGACTTTATCTTTTCACAATCGTAGACCTTGTTGGTCGTTTCAATTCCTCTCTTTCTCCGATCTCTCACATGCAAGCTCTCGATGCATTTTTGAGTTATCTCAGAATCATACGTCAGGTTCCCAGGTCTTTTGACGAAGTAGATGCAGTCCAGCGGACAGTCATACATCTCGTAGGACCATGTTTTGTTTGTAACAGAGCTTTTTCGGTGCAGAAGGCAGGGGAACCCCCAGGAACAGACATTTTAGTGTCGGTCTGAAGCTTCTGGGTATATCCGACATGTGGAAAATCCGTTGTTGTTTTGGAAGTCGAAGGAAGGAGCAGACATAGCGGAGTCTAGTCGAGTCTTTTGGGAAGAACGGCATGCGCCTAATACGAATCCATTTTAGTATATGGGAGGAATGTTTGAGAAGAGAGGAAGCTCGCGGCTTGCACGGCGTTTTATATTTCAGAACGAGACCATTTTCTGGTATAAAAAATTGGAAGACTGTCCGAAGCGAACATGGTGTTTTCAGATGGAGATTTTGGATACTGCAACCCGTGCATGAAGGCTGCTGTTGTTTTGGAAGTGGAACGAAGGAGCCGCCATGATCGCGTGCGCTTGCGTTTTGAATCGAACGACATGGCGCCATCGTCTTCCTAGTTTTCGTAAAAAGGAGGAGGCTTTAGGAGAAGAAAGCTCTGAGCTTCTACCGCAGTTGATGACCTCTGTCCCACGCTGTCACGTGGTATAGCAGAGAGGAGGACTGTCTGGAAAGAGACGTCCCACTGTCGAGATGGACTTTTGGGCACATTCAACAACCGTATCGCTTTTGGGGTATCAAGCAGAGGAACAGACATGTGCAAAGTCCGATACCGTTTTGGATCGAGGAACATGTACCGTCATATCTCATGTTTTGTTCAGATGGAATATGATCTGAGAAGAGACAAAGCTGGCAGCATCTACCCCTAATGTTGTATAACCACCCAGGAGTCTTTTTCTGCTATAGGAGAGGCGTTTCCAACCAGCAAAAGCCATAGATCAGATTGCTAGCAACTTTGGAACACATTTGGACATCCTCAGCTTTTTGTAACTTTCTTTTAGGGGGTAGGACGAAGGAGCAGACATGCGTACGGCTGCCCTTTATTTTGAACAGAACAACATATGTCAAAGATGCTGTTCTTTTGATAGAAGAAAGTATGCTTTGAGTATAAAGAAAGCTCGCAACTTCCACTGTTTTTATATCCAAATTCTGTGAGTATCTTTGCGGTCACTGATACCGGATGATACGTCATGGCCAGAGCCGACGGCACTGAGTAAGACGCGGCGATGCGGTCATCCCTTGTGCATATTCAACAAGACTGTTGGAAATGACATAGCCTTTGAGCTTAGACAGCGATCATGGATGTAGTTGTGGTTTATTTCAAAACTGTTGCCGTTGCGTGTTTGGGTCGGAAGAAGAGCAGCACGCTCATATTAAGGCCAAGTATGCTTTTTGATGACCTGCAAATGTGGAAGATCTACGAGAGAAGCAGCATGTTCCGCTTGTTGTTTGATTTTTGGATTCAAACAGCATGGAGATGACATTGCTCAAATTCGATATTTGGACTGCGGACTGGAAGCTCGGGAGGACATCGAAATGTCTTTGCGTGGTTTTTGGTCTACTCGGGGAGACTCGAGGAAAAAATCATGGAAGTAAATGTTGCGGAATGGTTGACATCCTATTGTTGTCCGTGCAATTCCTGCGTGGCGTCGGAGAGACTCAGACAGCATGTCACGTATCTCTCGCCGTCTTTTGGCCAATTATGCCGAGAAGGAGAGGGGAAGAAGAACAGGAGGAGAAGACATATCAGTTGTGTGAACCATGTTTGGTGCTCGCTCTCGCAGAAGCCGGACATGAGTGCTAAACCTGCGTTATTGATTTTCAAAATGAGCGGATTGAATGGGTGAGGAAGAAGCCCAGAAGCAGTACCTTTTATACATCCTCAGCACCGACGCTACCTCGTTCGGGGCTCGTCTGTAGATTTCCCATTTGTTCAAACGTGTCCCAGTGGTTTCCATAAGCATGTACACAGCGACATCGTGAGAACTGATCCATTTCGTTCATGAACGTGATGTTTAGTGTAAATCTTGTATGCATATGAGATATAGACAGCAAAACCAGGACTTCGTTCAAGTAAACTTTAAGGAAGACTTTCAACAGAGTCTCTTCTCCATCCATGTTGCCGCTCGAGAGAAGATCAGTCCATGTGATGTTGGTGACGAATTTTGTTAGAACATGCCAATCTTCTTTCGTCGGGTTGAGGCATTTAAAGCTTTGAAAAGGTTCAACACATCCAATACTCATCGAAAAAGTTTCAGAATTTGCGTGTTTCTGGTGCTTTAGAAGAGGAGGACGAAGCAGATGTATTATAGCAGACGTGGTAGAGCCAACGAGCCCATCCAAAACAGAGCGTGGAGTTTTGGAGAATAGCGGAGTGAATTTCTCTCATCGACCTGCTACATGGTAGTCTTGTATGCAGTTTTGATGCCAATGGAATGCATGTCAAACGCATAGCTCGTATTTTTGACCCGCGCGGAGATGCTCGACACATCAGAGTGTCTAGGAAGTTTTTCGAAAATTTTGGAGGCTGATCAGGAGGAAGGACAGCATGGGAAGGTTTACATTCGCTTTTTGGTGAAATAGAAAGATAGTGTAATGAGGAAGAAGGTCAGCCAGATGGCGGGGTTTATGTCTTGCTTCGACGCTAGCAGCCCCGCTTTCCCGCAGCGTCATGAAAGCCGCAACCACCAGAACACAATCTTCCATTCTCAGACTGCATACTGAATTTGAGTAGCGTCCATCTTAGACGGAGTGTTTGCCTAAAGCCGGATGCGTCGAAACGCCAACATATCGTAATGGTCTGGTTGTTTGAAACTGGCAGTTGCGATATCATTTCCTCCCCAGCTGGTGTCGACACAACAGCTCCGATGGATAGCCAGGTCATACGGCGTTGGTTTTGAAGCTTCTAAGCCTAGACAGCATGGAATAGGTACTGTGCGCTTTTACATCCTGCCCAGAACAAGGACACAGCCATGGGATTTCGCCATCTTGATTTAAGTATTGTTAAAGAAACTGCAGATCCTCAAAAAATTGGGTCTCATGTTGAGGCTTTTGGAAAATTGTTCACGAGGAGTTTGTGATTGAGGAAGCGAGCAGCAGTTCCGGTGGAAGACTTTATACACAGTCTGCCGACACTTCGCAGTAACGCGGCATGACTTAGTGTTTGCGTGGGTTGGATCATGTAGCGGTGTATCGATGTTTTTGGGACCGCAGCGAGTCCATGCATGTTGAATGTGATATTTTCGGAAAAACTGCCAGAACCAGAGAAGGCGGAGTCATTGGAAGACATCGGGAGAGTTTTGGTAAAGCAGGGAGAGGATTGTGTAGTGAGGGAAATAGAAGGTTGGCACCCGAAAAGAGGTATTTACACAGCAGCCAAGCTCAGGTCGCACGTGACGGTCATAAGAGAAGATGGGGAAAGACAACACCGCCGGCTGGTCTATTCGCCGCGGTGGTGCATGTTTGAGGCACACACACATGTGGCGCCGACATACTCTTTTTGGTGTACCATAAACAAATCATGATGAAGTGTTGCGCCAAAAGACCGAAGGTCTCGCCCATGGAACTTGGCAAAGACTTTTTTTGAAGGACACGGCGTTTTGAAGAATTGCCATTCGAGGAAAGGAGACACAAGGTCGATGAAACTTGTATATCCTTTGCCAAGTCCGCAGAGCCATAAGACAAGATATCGTCGGATTATCGTCTCATACGCCGGAACGTGCAACTTTTCGAGGGAACGCGACATATCGCTGGGGTAGTCCCGATTCCAGTGGCATTACCCTTGTCATGCCATCTTCGCTGGATAGTTCAAGCAGTTCAGAGGAGCTTGCAGACCGCAGCGAACATCATAGTCTTGGTATTAGATTTAGAAAAGTCACCGAGGCTATACAAAAATCCAACCGTCGTTTTGGAAGTATTGAAAGAGGATCGAGAAGAGCAGGCCATGGCATGTACCGATCACGCTTTTTGAAATCACTAGAAAGCCAATGTGTTGTAGAAAGGAGGAGAGAGAGCCTGGCGAAGAGAAGTATTTATACACAATA